CCCACTGGCAGTGCTGACTGGAGCTGATGGGAGCTGAAGCCCTCAGAAATGGCTGCAGGGCCTCAGGGACCCCATCTCAGCTGTAGGGGGAAATCTCTCAAATTTAAAAGGATCCAGATGGTTCTGATTACATACAGTGGTACCTCGGTTTCCGAACGTAATCCATTCTGGAAGACCATTCGAGTTCTGAAACGTTTGAAAACCGAGGTGCAAAGGGTGGTCTGCAAATTGAATAGAGAAAATTGGGGAAAATACAGTGGTACCTCAGCGGAAGCCGTTCGACTTCCAAAGTGCGTTTGAAAAGGGAAGCATTTACTTTCGGGTTTACGGAGTTCGAGTTCTGAAACGTTTGTCAATGGAGATGTTCGAAAACTGAGGTACCACTGTACTTCTGTGCCAGTCCTTGAAAATAAAGCATTACAGAATCCGACAGACCTCTTCTATATGGAGAACATCCAAGACAGAATGACCAAGCTACCTCAAATATAGAAGTTATATCCCCTAATATAATGCGACAATCCAATATCTGTAGTAATAAACCGTTTTCTGTGGAATTTAACCCTATTGCTAGAAACAGGCTTCATATGAAACCGAGCTATTAGATACCTATTCCAGGTAACCTGCACTGACTTCAGTAAGAGTTACTGCCAAGACTAGAGTTGGAATAGAAATGTCCGTCTGGTCTTCTCTTGGGGATTTTGTACTTAGACCTCCAGCTCTATGTGGAGAGTGTGGGAATCCACATGGCAGCCATCACAGTTGGAAACCGCTTTTCAAAAGGTTGTCCTGAGGAATGTGAAGAGCTTCCACATCAGCCTCTGCGGCTGCCAACTCGCAGCGTTGATTCTGAGCATTTACACATTATTTGGTTGAACCATGAGGAAAGCAGCTTTCAAAACATCACAGCCGGCATGGAGTGCAACGTTTCTCGAGCCATTTTTTGGCAGTCTCCACACAAGAGCTGTAACATTTGATCCAAAGCTTATGAGCCTCCGGAGAACGAGAGTGTGGCCATTATTCTGGAAAACTTGTTTCAGTTTCCAGTCATTCTTATTGCAACAACATCCCTCTTCACAAGAACTACCCACACATTGAATCAATGTGCGAGTGGAGTCATGCCAAGCGACTCCTCCCCGATTTCCTGGTGCTCATGCTGTGCTAGGGATGCCAAGAGCAGTCAAGTCAGCATGCAGGATACTGGGGGCAGGGCTGGTTGGTGTGGCTTCAGCATGCGAACATGGCTTCAACGTGTGAGTGGTTCTTGGGAAGAGGACTTATTTGTACCTCTGTTTCAGTGTTTCATGAACCGATTCAGCATGTATCAAGATTTGGCCCAGTGCAAATAATCCTCTATTGTGAGAAAGTTAAAAAGTATGGCTAATGTACCGGCTTAATATATCACACAAGTAAAACCCAACCAAATCTCTATTTCCAAATAAAATATATGGAAGTCCTATTTCTGGGCTGTTTTCTTAGAGGGAAATGACATCTTCATTTCATTATCATATTCCTATAGACACTAATGCAGAACCATTCAAATCATTAATGTACAGTGGTACCTCGGGTTACATATGCTTCAGGTTACAGACTCCGCTAACCCAGAAATAGTACCTCGGGTCAAGAACTTTGCTTCAGGATGAGAACAGAAATCGTGCTCCGGCGGTGCAGTGGCAGCGGGAGGCCCCATTAGCTAAAGTGGTGCTTCAGGTTAAGAACAGTTTCAGGTTAAGGACGGACCTCCGGAACAAATTAAGTACGTAACCAGAGAGTTGGTTGATGTTGACAAAGCCTAAAAAAGGAATGTAGTTTTATTCATGTCTTTTAAGAGGTAAGTTCCATTTTGTTCAATTGGGCTTACTCCCAAGTAAGTACAGACTAGGCACACTAACCTGAGAGTGAGCCTAACTGAATGCAGTGTGACTTTTTCTGAGTAAACATGCAAAGGACTGTACTGTGAAGATAGATTTTGGACACTGACTGAATCCATTTGGAATGGTCAGAAATCACATATGAAAGCCAACATTTGTTCATGTGTCTTCCTAAAAGTAGGAACGGAATGCATTTGATAAAAGCAAATGTACTACTTTCAAAATAGTATAAAATAATTTGAACAAAAAGGAGCTTTTGTGTGGTTGCTTTTGCACTTTAATGAAGAAAAAGAGAAAGGCGTCATCAGGGGAAGCAATGAATAAATTATGTAAGACAAAATAAAAATGCACAGATGGAAGGCCTGATCCTATAAATCATTTGAGAAACTGGTCATTTGCGGACAACAACTTTGAAAACAAATGTTCATCATCTCCAGATAAGATAGGCAAAGCTGAACAATAATAACCCTGGGTTCAAATGACTGTCCTACAGGTATGATTTTGTCCTTTTGCAGGGACAGAGTCTGTAGCCCTCAAGGTGGCTGTCAAAATGTAATCTGTGTAGCATTGGGGAAAAGCACTTTAGCAGTTTGGCACTTAGGTCAGATAAAAAACAGTTAAGGCCGTGTTCCCACTGTGGCTGTGTAGGCCCAACCAACCACAGTGGGACTTACTCCCAAGTAAACATATGTAGGATTGCACTACTGGTTACAGTTTAAACAAACTGAATGTTATTTACTAAAATTCAGAGTTAAAATGATGTGATTTTAATATGGATCATTTTAATAGCATACAACCATACAACTAATGATCCCTGTGGCTGAATTTATTTGCCTCATTGTGAACCCCCATATGCATGGCTTGTGTTCCCCTCAAACTCAAACCTTCCTGAAAGTATGAATCAAACCGCAATCTTGAAACATAACACACCCTTGACTGTATCAATTTAAAGGGACTATTGTGATTTTTTAAACACACCCTGGATTATTTAGGACTAAATACTTAGGCATGTGATGTGCAAACCTAGCTAGGCTGCATGTACAGGGAAGCAGGTTTGGGCTATGTGGGGAAGTGTGAGCACAACTGTGCGGTACAAATGCCATTCCCCCATTTGAACCAGCTGCAAACCTTTTCTTTTAAAACAAACCTGAAATCTTCCCAGGCGAGCTAGATGCTTCTCCTTCCCCATCTAGCAGCTAAGTTGGCCACTTAAAGGTAAAGGGACCCCTGACCATTAGGTCCAGTCGTGACCGACTCTGGGGTTGCGCGCTCATCTCGCTTTATTTTAACACTGATTGGGAGCCGCCTAGAGTGGCTGGGGAAACTTAGCCAGATGGGCGGGGTATAAATAATAAATTATTATTATTATTATTATTATTATTATTATTATTGGCCGAGGGAGCTGGCCAGCATGACTAAGCCGCTTCTGGCGAACCAGAGCAGCGCACGAAAACGCCGTTTACCTTCCTGCCAGAGTGGTACCTATTTATCTACAGTGGTGCCTCGCAAGACGAAAATAATCCGTTCCGCGAGTCTCTTCGTCTAGCGGTTTTTTCGTCTTGCGAAGCAACCCTATTAGCGGCTTAGCGCTATTAGCGGCTTAGCAGCTATTAAAGGCTTAGCGGCTAAAAGGCTATTAGCGGCTTAGAAAAAAGGGGGGGATTTTCCATAGGGAAAATCGTCTTGCGAAGCGCATCGAAAAACGGAAAACCCTTTCGTCTAGCGGGTTTTTCATCTTGCGAGGCATTCGTCTTGCGGAGCACCACTGTACTTGCACTTTGACGTGCTTTCGAACTGCTAGGTTGGCAGGAGCTGTTACCGCGCAACTGGACCTCACCCTGTCGCAGGGATTCGAACCGCTGACCTTCTGATCAGCAAGTCCTAGGCTTTGTGGTTTAACCCACACACCACAAAAAAAGACAAGACATTTGCATGGACTTTGCATGTGTTAATTTATGTCGCGATGCATATTTTGGAAATAATTTCTAATTTAAATAGACATGCAATACATATCGCCAATGTGTAGAACCCTGCACTCAGCTGCTAACAGTTACTGGGCATCTTTATGGCCCTGAGTCTTCCTTTCTGTTTTTATCTTTAAGCCAAGCTTGGCCTAGACAAGAGCAACAGAGGACTCCTTCAAATAGAAGCCTATTCCAGCAGCCCTTCAAATACAGGACTGTCTGGGATTGCAAAACGGAATGCTTTTTCCTCCCAGGAGCTCAAGGCGGCACACATGCCGGTTATATCCTTGCAACCACCCTGTGAGGTAGGCTAGGCTGAGAAAAGGCGACTAGCGCAAGGTCACCCAGTGGGTGCTACAGCAGAGCCAAGATCCAAACCCCTGCGCCTGCTATATCAGAATGGGGGTGTAGCGTGTGACTTTCCTCTTTTCATTTTGACTGCGGCTGAACTGACTTCGATATCCCGTTAGGGAATTAAACAGAACAGAAACTAACCAATCCCCCTAAGTGGAAGAAGTGAGGCTGCACGTGTTAAGTGGCCTTTCCCCTGCATATTGCTGATGCATATACATGGTCTCATGCAGACCCCCCAGCACCACCGCAGCGCTAATCTGAAGTGGCTGGATGTGCCCTTTGACAAACTACGGGTGACTACAACTTGATCAGGCCAAGGAATGGCTTATACAAGCAGATCAATGATAAGTCCAGAAGTGCAGAAGTCTTTGCTTCTGTTTTGTCCTTGCCATCTGGGGAAAAAACAGAATTGCCTTCTGCTCCAGCACCCAAAGAGAGATTTTAAACTTCAGCATTTTGAAGCCTCCCATTTTCAAATGTATGACTAAGGGGTGGGTTTTTTGCCTGCCTTTTGTTTGCTTTGTTTTTACTCTACCTTATTTTCTTCTTCCGAAACAGAATGAAATTGGAGTCAGGTAGCTTATATCGTCAGGATGAAAAACAACATACAAAGCTCATGTATAGCAAATATTACAAAACATGTATTTGTAGTGCAAGTTGGGGGGGACAAAAAATCAGGGGCTTCACTCATACTGGCCAGCTAGAGGGAAACACACAATTCCAAGTGATCAACAAGAGCCCCTAAGTTAAAACTCTTCAGAGTTGACAGTATTAACAGAGTACAAAAATATGGTGAAAATTTACACGTTACACATAAAGTACTTAATTTTTTAATAGTTTACAATAGAGATCTACAGATATGTTTCCAATTAAGCTGGCTTCTTACTACCCACCTATTGTAATACTATAGGTACGGTTACATATACAAAACAAAACAAAAAACAAAAGAAAATCCCGCGCACACACAAATAAAACAGACCAACAATCCCAAAGCAATAGCTATACAGCAACGTATTAGGGTCTGAAGATTAGACCAGTACATGTTAAATATTTCACTGGTTTACTAAACTGACGGTTTAGTTCATTTACAGTCACTGGTGGTGGTATGTTTATATGTTTAAAAGAATCTTAATAGACTTGTCTTTGAGACTGAAACAAAAATGTCCTTTATTGTTAAGGTTTTCGGTATAAAAACAAATGGTGCGAGGCTTTGCATAGGCTCTCAGCAAGAAAAACAACGGTGTATGTGACTTTTTCTTTTTAAGGCAGACTTCCTGAAAAATAGCGAACTACTGTTTTAACTGAGCTAAACAAATCGTGGTTTGCAGGATTTTTTTTTTAATCTCTTTTTTTGAGCTCAGGTTTCTAAGGAATGAAACCAGGTTTCTTGCAGTTTATTTGGTCTGCTCGTTTTTTGTTTGTTTTTTTGCTCCCTCATTCCCCCCACCCCTCCCCAATGGTAATGACATGCCCCCTCATTTGATCATATAACACAAAAATAAATAATGCGCTGTTAATTCCTAAGAACTACAGGGAATGGGTAGAGCATCTATGGCGTAACACGGAGGTCAAGTAAGCCACGGAACAGATACAGCAACTCCACTGAATGGGATATTTTTCCTGTTTTTTTCCTTTCACATAAGAACTCTATCAAATTCTTCCAGTGTTTATTTTTTTAAAAGGTTTTTTTTTCATTTTCTTTTCTTTCTTGTTAGTATTTTTTTTTTTTGCTTTTTTTTTTTAAAAAAAGAAAATTCCTTCTTGTCTATCTCACTAACCAAGTAGTTGAAATGTAGGATAAGGCCTTCACGGTTTTTGCTTCAGATGATGGTGTGTGGTGTTTTTTTTTTGAAAACAAAACGCAAAACAATGAAACAAACTCTCAAACGATTTGGACTAGTACCGCTTTTTTTCCCTCCTTTGTTTTTTTTTTTTAAATCACTGCTTGACCCTATGTGTTCTTTACATTTCTTCTTCTTCTTCCTCTTATGTTTTGTTTTCTTCCTTTCTTTTCCAATGCACTTGCTGGTGCTGCTTCAGAATATCCCTTAGCTGCATTTGCAAGACTTTACGATCATGTTAGAAAGTTGTTCGATTTTGGGCGTTTTTCCAATGTAATACAAGATGGTGAGGGGCTCCAAATCTTGGGATACACAGCATGGAGATGCAGAGGCTTCTGGGTTGATAGTGTTATACAAGCTGAGAACCTGGAAAGAGAGGAAAGAGAAGAGGAGGTTAAGGGGTGATATGATAGCCATGTTCAAATATATAAAAGGATGTCATATAGAGGAGGGAGAAAGGTTGTTTTCTGCTGCTCCAGAGAAGCGGACATGGAGCAATGGATCCAAACTACAAGAAAGAAGATTCCACCTAAACATTAGGAAGAACTTCCTGACAGTAAGAGCTGTTCGACAGTGGAATTTGCTGCCAAGGAGTGTGGTGGAGTCTCCTTCTTTGGAGGTGTTTAAGCAGAGGCTTGACAACCATATGTCAGGAGTGCTCTGATGGTGTTTCCTGCTTGGCAGGGGGTTGGACTCGATGGCCCTTGTGGTCTCTTCCAACTCTATGATTCTATGAGAGATGAAGGCATTTCCTCCAGATGCTCAGCAACACATTTCATAGGTTCCATGGATTTCAGCTTGCTTTTTACAAACGTGAAGAACTGGGACGCTGGATCAGACCAAAGGCTTATCAGCCCAGGATCCTGTTTCCATAGTGGACCGTAATTAATTGATTCACATTCATTCATAGTGGACAACCACTATGCTTCTGGGAAGACCACAGGCAAGACATGGGACCAACTGACCTCTCCTATAGCTGCCATCCAACAGCTTTTAATGTAATAATAATAATAATAATAATAATAATAATAATAATAATAATAATTTATTTATACCCCACCCATCTGGCTGGGTTTCCACAGCCACTCTGGACGGCTTCCAACAAAGTATTAAAATACAGTGGCCTGTTAAACATTAAAAGCTTCCCTAAACGGGGCTGCCTTCAGATGTCTTCTAAAAGTCTGGCAGTTGTTCTTCTCTTTGACATCTGGTGGGAGGGTGTTCCACAGGGCAGGTGCCACTACTGAGAAGGCCCTCTGCCTGGTTCCCTGTAACTTGGGCTTCTCTCAGTGAGGGAACCGCCAGAAGGCCCTCGGCACTGGACCTCAGTGTCTGGGTAGAACGATGGGGGTAGAGACGCTCCTTCAGGTATACTGGGCCAAGGCCATTTAGGGCTTTAAAGGTCAGCACCAACACTTTGAATTGTGCTTGGAAAAGAGTAGTATACTAAAAGCAGCATATAGCCACTGTGACGCGTAGCCACTGAGAGTTCTAACCTCCATTAACAGTGAATTCCACAATCATGTATACCGTCTTTCAGTTTAGAAAGGGGAGCAGTTCAGGGACAGAGCATGTGCTCTGCAGAAGGTGCCAGGTTCCATCACCCAGAGGTAAGGATCTGGCCATAAAAGGTTCCCCACTCTGAGATAGATGGACCAATGGTCTGACTCTGGATGAGGCAGCGTCCTGTGAGGATTTTGATCTCTTGAAACCTGGGCTTACAGTGAATTAAGACTGTTTCCATTTAAAAAGGAGACTAGGATGGCACTGGAATAGGATGGAGAGAAAGGGTTGAGGTGGCACTGGGACAGAGCAGAGGAAAAATGGCAAGGGGGTTATAGGTTATAGGTGTAGAATTGGGGGCAGAGGGATTATAAAGGGCAGACCGAGAGCCACCCTTCCCAACCTTTCCTTAGCTCTTCAAATAAGCAAATCTTTCAAGCTTTCTCTCTGCAACCAAGAGAAGCTGGCTTTTGTGTTAGCGATGAAAGCCAGGATTTTCAGGATGCCAAAGTGTGTGCCAGACCCTAGATTCTGTGCTGGGTTTTCACAAGCCAGCACATGGAACACACCCAATCCTGATCACAGCCACCCAGGAGAATTCCTTTCCCTAGAACAGGCCTGCGCAACATAGAAGTCCCATGTGTTGTGCAGGCCTGCCCTAGAATGACTTCCATGGGTGGAGTCAGTGCATTAGGGCCGTGTGGAAGATCAAAACCTGGCCTTCAGAAGGGCCTAAACTGATTTTAGAACAGGACAGGCCCAGGAAACTGTTGCCGCTACTCCTCAGACATCTGCTTCAGCAGGGAGAAGGCACTGAGGTCGGAATGAAATCGCCCTGGCCCTGCTTGGGCACTGACTGTTTTAGGGCATGGATGGGGAACCGGTGGCCCTCCAGATGTTCCCAGACTCTAATTCCCATAATCCCTGGCCACGTGATGGGAGATGGAGGATATTGTGCCAGAGAGTGTGCTGTGCAACTGGACTTAAAAATACAAGGTGTTAAGGCAGACCTGTTTGAAATATGTTCAGTTGGTGTGCAGACTAGACATGTTGCACCAGTTATTTTTAAAAGACTTTGGCAGCGCCAAATTTTATTGCATTGGAAATGTATTGTGTCAATAATACACTAGTATAATGCACTAGCTGTCATGGTTTTTTTGCAGGGGGAGGACAAAGAAAAACTTATTTTTGTTATCAAAAAGCCTGCTTTTCTGCACCCACCCCACCCAATATAGTGTTAATATTCTATCAGGAAACAAATCTAACCCCCACCCCACCCCGCAAAGGAAGAGACTTACTCTACTATGCTGAGTATCTGAGCTCCATAAATAAGGACAAGCTCCTGCACAGAAATTTGCATGGTATCCTTTAGGCTCATGTATCCATTTCCATCCCAGATCTCTCTTGAAGTCAATATAAAATGGGCGCAGGCAGCAGTTGTCTTGCACGTTCCTGAAAATGCAATTGCAGACAAGCATATTATTACAGTCACAGCCACCAAAACTGGGCTGGGGAGCAAGAAGCTGAGCTCAATGCAACTCTAAACAGAGATTCTTTGTAAGCCCTATGCAGTGTTCCATCAAACTTGGGTGGATGCTTTCGTTGAGATTCCTGCATTGCAGGGGGTTAGATCACACGACCCTTGGGGTCCCTTCCAACTTTACAATACTATGATTCTCAAAATGGATCCTTTTTTTCTGAATTAGGGGTACACTTCATTTTTAGATCGAGAAACATTTACTTTCAAAATAGTAAGAAACATACAATGTAGCGCTCTCCAGATCTTGTTGGACCAAGCCTGTCCAGTGGTCAGGGATGATGGGAGATAGAGTCCAACAACATCTGAGGATGCCATGTTTGCTATCCCTGCGGTAGCAGTAATAACCCCCTTGCATATTTTAAACACTTTTATTAGTATCTGTTAACAAATATTTTATATTGTCCAGTATAAGTCACTACTAGGTCTTCTGTTGGGAAAGTGGTATATAAATTTTGTTAATGAAATAGATAAAAGCATGAGCAAAGGGAGCACGTTGGCCATCCCTGTAACTTCCAGTTGGCTACCTGTTCAGTAAATGTGAGAAAAGGCCCCCGCAGAACTCCTACATGAAACCAGAGGGCTGGGAGAGGACTCTGGACCAACCAGGATCCTCTCCTTGGTCGAATGAGTTCTATATGCGTATTTCGATATGCAAGTAGGGTCCTTTTCACATGGGCCATGGCTGATGGAAGTATCACTGGCCCCCACAGCTAGCCTGTGGTGACTCCACGGCCTTCTCATGCCCACTTTTAATACATGAGGCAGTTCATCTGAAACTTGCCCAATGGTGTTTCTGCATGAGTCATTCCTCTGGGTACATCTCCAACAACAGTTGATTCCAATCTATCTCGCTGCCAGGGATGTTGAGGCAATCTCGTGGCAATTGAAACAGGAGCAGAAATGGCCAACGTCTGCTTATTTGTCTGGGCCAGTAATCAATCCAGCGATTAATTATTTGCATAATTAATTCCATAAAGTCCCACCACAGCAGGCAAAGAGATGACTTTACATCAGAAACTGAACTGCAGGAGAACAGAAACAGGGCTGCGTGCGATGAACATGGGTCGGAACGGAAATCAATGCCTTCTAAAATCCCTACTCTTTCCATCAGGGGTGAATAGATGATTCAAACAAACGCAATGCAGAAACGTGACAGCATTATTCGTCTCCAATGGAGGCTGATCGGTGGGAAGCAAGACTAGAACAGCAAATCATTCAGCGATACAGTGGGCAGCCTGCTCTGCGGAGGGAATTACAGGAGACTTTCATTTTTTTTATTCACTTAAGTTTTAGGGGCACACCAGGGGGTTCTCTCTTGGCATACTGCAGCGCCTTCCTGTGCACTATATTAAAAAAGAAAATCTCACAAACTCAGTGGGACTTTCTCCTAAGCAGGTGCGCATAGGATGTGGGCTAGCTTAGCTTGTTTCCCATGACACCAGAACTCAGGGAACAATGGTTTATTTAACTTATGGTTAGTGACGACACATCAGGTTCAAACTGTTGTTCCAGTTCCTGGGCTATAAGAGCAAACCAGGAGTAGAAGAGAGATAGAAATGTATATGCAAGTCCAAGCTCATCACAGGTTATTCCATATTGCCAGGAAATACTGTTTCTAGCTACAGTGGAACCTCAGTTTCCGAGTGTCTCAGAAGCTGAACAATTTGGAACCCGAACACCAAAAACCTGGAAGTAATTGTTTCCATTTTTGAACGTGCTTCGGAAGTCGTACAGCTTCCGCTACGAGTCTTTCGATTTTTTCAATGGATTTTACTGACCATCCATTGATCCTCGGTTTTCGAACGTTTCGGAAGTTGAACAATCTTCCGGAACGGATTACGTTCAAAGACTGAGGTTCCACTGTACATCTAAACTTGGCCACAATGTGCATGGGTTTTTTGTTTTCTGCGGGGGGTGGGGTAGTGCGAAGTAAATGTGGTCCTTTCATTACAACTAAGGGCAGTAGGAGATAAAGGAATTTACTGGGAAGAAAATTCGAATTTTGTTACATTAAATCAGTTGTAAAGATACTATAAGAACTCAGGTGTTCAACTACTACTTTCTTCATACCTAGCAAGAGGCATTTTTAAAAAATAGAATCAGGGAATTATGGGGCTGTATTTATATTCTGCATTTATTTATATTTATTTGAATTATGGTGCTGGAGGAGACTCTTGAGAGTCCCATGGACTGCAAGAAGATCAAACCTATCCATTCTTAGGGAAATCAGCCCTGAGTGCTCCCTGGAAGGACAGATCCTGAACCTGAGGCTCCAATACTTTGGCCACCTCATGAGAAGAGAAGACTCCCTGGAAAAGACCCTGATGTTGGGAAAGATGGAGGGCACAAGGAGAAGGGGACGACAGAGGATGAGATGGTTGGATAGTGTTCTCGAAGCTACCAGCATGAGTTTGACCAAACTGAGGGAGGCAGTGGAAGACAGAAGTGCCTGGCGTGCTCTGGTCCATGGGGTCACGAAGAGTCGGACACGACTAAACGACTAAACAACAACAACAAATTTATATTCTATGAATGTTAACCTATTTCTACGCATGCAGGCAGACAGGCAGAGACAACGCCTCAATCCATAATTACCTAAAACAATAGGCAGCATCTAGAGCACGCTTCCTCCGCCGACTGGACTGTTGCGACTCAACTCTGTAGGAGGGCAATAACATTAGCAGAAGATGTGGGGTCTTCCCACTGTTTTTTTTCCTACTGGGCTTTAAAGATTTCTCACCACTGGGATATGTGTAGTAGTCATCAATACCTTTAAAAAATACATTTTGGTAATAAATATTGTGCTGCTCTTCTGGAACAAATTATATAAACCAACTTTTTACAAGAAACTCGAACCACAGAAAGAAAAAAATCAGAGGGCACTGGCATTGGGTGGGAGCATTTATTGCATGCTGATATGCATATGTAAATTTCATAGGAAGTTCTCATTATGTTGATTGCTGTGGCTCCTTTGAGACAACCTTCCAAACCTTTGTTCGGGAAGTTCTATAGCACTGCCTTCCTTCATCACACACCAACACTCATACTTTATTTATGACATCTGGGTTGTAGAAACTATGGTTAGTGCTGAGCCCCAAACCATGATTGAAATGTGTTTGTAAACCTTGCTTTGTAGGTTAGCACTAATCATGATTTGGCATAGGATATCATGGCAAACTATGGTTAGAACAACCCAGAAACGGAAGTTGGAACTGGTGTACAACAGAAGATGGAGGCTGTGTTTCTAATCTGACAAGCTGTGGTTTGGAGAAGTATCCAAACTGAACATGTATTCTGCCCTCAATCAGATAAAATAAAATAAAATGCAATTTCAGCACATAACAATGCCAGGAGATGAACTATATCATAAACTTCATCTGCATTCATGATTAGTCATTTAGTCAGTTGTAATACAATATATTAAAGTTTTTTTCTTTCACAGTTATTTCAGTACAACATGCATTTAGATATTTATTTAACTCAAATATTAACTCTACGCTTCTGATACACTCTACTAATCTAAGCTAAAAATGCTGTGCAGTCCAATCCTAAGCATGCTTACTTAGAATCAAGTCCCACTGAGCACAATAGGACTTACACCCTAATATGTATGCTTAGGACTGCAGTCTAAGGCTGAAAACAATAGTCTGACTCATTGATTTGTATGGGGTTAGATTGCACTAGAAGATAACAGGAAATAAATTTTGACAGAATACTGAAACCCACCCAGGTATCATCACTAAAGGAAAAACAACAACCCAATCTCTGTACACAAACACACACTCATCCTTCCAGATCCCGTTACTGTATTTGAGTAAATTAAATTAAATTAAATTAAATTACCGTAAATTAAACTACAAACAAAAGCAGCAAACTTGGGGGGTGAGGGCTTGATATAAGATGGACAATGGAATGGGGACCCTTCATCTTCTTTCTCAGGCAATTTAAATTATCACTGAATTTGATTCCTCTCAATTTTGTTGTAATTTTCTGTTAAATCAATTTATGGGTTCCTTTATTGTTGCAAGATGGAGTTTTAATTCCAATGTATTCTGACCTAAAACACTCTTTGGATTGCAGTTTTTTTAAAAAAATCTATCCACAAATGTTTCCTTTGTTCTCATTTCCTAGTACTCAATAACCATGACCCACTTGCTCCCACTTGATTCAGTTGAGGAATCCACTTGGATTTGGGTGTGGAGCCAGTCAGGGATTTGCATCCCGCTTCTGGGGAATCCCAGTTATCATCCAAACAATATTTGGCTTCAATAAACTTTGGTGCCTAGCGTGCTCTGGTCCATGGGGTCACGAAGAGTCGGACACGACTAAACAACAACAAACTTTGGTGTTACCATGAGCATTCCCTCTTAGCTGCACTGGAGAAATGTGGTGAGTGACCAAGATCACTCTTTCTACAAACACACAAGACACACACACACACACACACACACACACACACACACACAAAATAAGCACACAGAGCTCAATCTTTTCAATGAACTGGGTTTTTGTATTTTCCATGTACTGTAAAAACTCCTCTTACTTATCACATAACAATTTTAATTTTTATGGTTTGTCATTACCTGCAAATCTTGCTTCTAGCTCTTCACTTTTATTTGGGATGATATAATTATTTGAAGGCACGAATGTGCAACATGGACAGTGTAAACTTATCTTAAATCCAAGATTCCTGTCTGCAAAACACAAGGGGAGGAAGGGGAAATTGCCTTTAGATCCAGTGCAGACCTGAAACTATTTAGATTTAGCACAGGCAGGCTCTAAATGATCAAAGGCTTAGGATATGGTCACCTCGGTGGTGGAGCCACTCATGTACTGCATCAGTTACGTCGAAAGATAGCCACTCGCCTTCAGCTCTGGTTTTAACTACCTTGCTATCAATGTAGCGCTGCATAGGTGATGTTAGATCTTTGGTTTTCAGAACCTGCAAACGAGAAAAGACAACATGCATTCTGTTGGTTATGGGCTTTCAAGATTTCACTGAGAAGAAAAACTAGCTAAAAACTAGTTCAAAAGAAGATGGCAATGGTACAGAAAATAATTGCAGCACTCAACAGGTTACAAACAATCACATACAGTAGATATAGATATAAATATATAGAATGAAATTGGATTCCAACATTGAGCCTGCAAATTTTGATGTTGCAACCAGACCTGGTGGCATCCTGCTTTTCATCTGGGCTGCTGCGTATGTTCCTGTCTTGCAAATGAATATGGCAGGATAGTTAGGGTTTTAAAGATCAGAGTAGCTTTAACTCATGGCTCCAAGATTCTTTGCTCATCCCAGAACTGTTTCCCTCCTGGCTCGATCTCTCTGCGCATTACAAAGAGGTAACAGAACTGAGATCCAGGCTTTCAAAGCCAGAAGTTACTACAAACCACAGCAAAGTGGGTTAGAATTTCATCATTGCCGGGACACTGGAGGAAAATAAAAGCACATTTCAAACCCAGACTACATCCTCTTTTACTTGTGTTGACCTGCTTTACGTATTTCTGATATAACCCAGAGTGTGTTAGCTTTTCAAAAAAGCATATAAAATTCTCCATAGGATAACGTGATTCAAAAAGATCTTGGAAAATAAAAATGCTAGTCTTGCTTTCACTGATTTGTTTACTAGCAGAATGCCCATCATTAAGACATGACCTGCTTAGCTTTAACAGTGTACCAGCATCTGTGCCCAGATACCATTTTCCACTGCCCAGAGCCAGATTTAGTGGCAGGTGCCCCAGGTGACTGCCAAGGTGCCAGGCTTGCAATGCACAGGGCTTGGGAAATGCCTTTCATGGGCTAGATGCTCCCCTGTCCAGTGATCAGCAAATAGTACTAACAGTTTGAACCATGGTTCATTCATTTACATACCATCTTTTTCTCCAAGGAACTCAAGGCATACATGGTTCCCCACCTTCTCATTTAATCCCAACAACAAGCCTGTGAGGTAGGCCAGGTTGCGAGGAAGTGACTAGCCCAAGGTCACCAAGTGGCGATTTAGACCCTAGTCTCCCAAACCTAGACAGCATCCTAAAAAGCAGAGACATCACCTTGCCAACAAAGGTTCATATAGTTAAAGCTATGGTTTTCCCAGTGGTGATGTATGGAAGTGAGAGCTGGACCATAAAGAAGGCTGATCGCCGAAGAATGGATGCTTTTGAATTCTGGTGCTGGAGGAGACTCTTGAGAGTCCCATGGACTGCAAGATCAAACCTCTCCATTCTGAAGGGAATCAGCTCTGAGTGCTCACTAGAAGGACAGATCCTGAAGCTGAGGCTCCAATACTTTGGCCACCTCATGAGAAGAGAAGACTCCCTGGAAAAGACCCTGATGTTGGGAAAGATGGAGGGCACAAGGAGAAGGGGACGACAGAGGACGAGATGGTTGGATAGTGTTCTCGAATCTACCAGCATGAGTTTGACCAAACTGTGAGAGGCAGTGGAAGACAGAAGTGCCTGGCGTGCTCTGGTCCATGCGATCATGAAGAGTTGGACACGACTAAACGACTAAACAACAACAACTCCCAAACCGTAGCTAGCCATTACAGCACACTGATGGGAAAGAGACAAAGTGAGTCGGGGTCTCTAACTTTCTTTTTAAAAAATTAACCACACTTTCGTGTGCTGTCCAAACCCTAATTTTAACCGTGGCTTGTTAAAACAAGCCAATTTCAAACCACAGTTTGTTGGATTCAGGCAAAATGAAATCTAAAAAGGAAACAAGACCTTCCCACCTCCGCCTCATGACTGCATTGGAAGAGGAGGTGGGGAACAGAACACACCAACCCAAGGCCCACAGCTGCTCGCTCTTGTCAAGATAAACCATGGTTTGTTGTGACATCCCAACTTGCCCAGTGCTTTTGCTTGTAAAACTGGCAATCCTTACCTGCGCTGCCAGTGTCGCATTGACATGTTTTAACTTGCAGGGGAAAGTTCAACATCCATGCATGCAAATTTACTGTCTTATGTGGCAAGGGAAGTATAATGAGCTACAACTGCAATACCAAAATAAGATACAGTGGTATCTCGGGTTACAGGCGCTTCAGGTTACAGACTCCGCTAACCCAGAAATAGTACCTCAGGTTAAGAACTTTGCTTCGGGATGAGAACAGAAATCGCGCAGCGGCGGCACGGCAGCAGCAGGAGGCCCCATTAGCTAAAGTGGTACCTCAGGTTAAGAACAGTTTCAGCTGAAGAACGGACCTCCAGAACGAATTAAGTTCTTAACCCAAGGTACCACTTTACTTTAAAGCTGAATAAAGGAAGGGCGACAAACTGGTGCTGCACCAAGTACCTATGTGGGCAAAGCTGGGTTAGATCAGTTCCATCTAGATCTCAGTAATACATGCCAAGTTGCCTCCTTCATCTACAATCAAAAGGTGGATGTGTGAGACTTCATTGTGAACCAATAGAAGACTAGCAGGCCAGACAGCACAGCAGCTATTCCACAAGGTACCTGCCTAATGGGATGGCCTGTAGGCATCTGAGTCTCCCCACATAGTGTCCCCACCTTAGTGCCCCATCCCCCTACCCACAACCGCCATTATGGGTACCACCACCCCTCCCTCTGTCTCACACCCAAAGTACAAAATGATGACCTCATGCAAACCTCCGAAACCTATTCTGTAGAAGAAGAAGAGGAGGAGGAGGAGGAGGAGGAGGAGGAGTTTGGACTTGATATCCCGCCTTTCACTCCCCTTAAGGAATCTCAAAGCGGCTAACAATCTCCTTTCCCTTCCTCCCCCACAAAAATCACTCTGTGAGGTGAGTGAGGCTGAGAGACTTCAGAGAAGTGTGACTAGCCCAAGGTGATGCTTACTTGGTTATATAACCGACTACAGTGGTACCTCGGGTTACATACGCTTCAGGTTGCATACACTTCAGGTTACAGACTCCGCTAACCCAGAAATAGTGCTTCAGGTTAAGAACTGTGCTTCAGGATAAGAACAGAAATCGTGCTCCAGCGGCACGGCAGCAGCAGGAGGCCCCATTAGCTAAAATGGCGCTTCAGGTTAAGAACAGTTTCAGGTTAAGAACGGACCTCTGGAACGAATTAAGTACTTAACCCGAGGTACCACTGTATTTGTGAGCAGTGTATGATGAAAATACAGAGATCGACTGTACATTCTTTAAGGTCACCAACGTGAGCAAAAATGCGCTTCTGAACTCAGCGCCATCGATAAACAGACATGAATGCAACTTTAAACTACAAGTTAACTTCTAAGTTACATCGGCCACACCATAAACACATAAACAGATTTTATACGCACAGGGGTGGGGAAAACGTGTTCAAAACAAAATTGGTAAGTTTAACTTGCTAGTATCTTCATCTACCATCTTAATTGCTAAAGGTTGGTCCATACCATACCTGCGTTGCGGTGGACTATGATGGGAGCAGATCCCGGTTCAGCTGCCCACTCAGCCCTGAAGCCCATTGGGTAACCTTGGGCCAGTCTCTAACTCTCAGCCTAACCTGCCTCAGAAGGTTAGAATCATGGAAGTGTTGAGTTGGAAGGGACCATCTAGTGCAACCCCCATGCAATGCAGGAATCCTTTGTCCAACGTGGGACATGAACCATGACCCTGAGATCAAGAGTCTCATGCTCTACCACCCAAACTATCCCAGCTGTTGTGAAGATAAAGCGGGGGTGGGAGAGAACCATTTATGTTTCATGGAAGGAAGGGGGGAAACTTGAGTTTTCAGCTCTGGTGTCAACTAATCCTATGTGTTTGCTTCTCTCTTCTGGGAAAGTGACTCAGGTTGTCCATCACTTACTGCAAAGCCGCTCCAGCACATTTTGCACAGACGTCATTCAACAGGGGTTCAAGCAGGCCTTTTTAGGCAACCAGGCCTACCTGCCAAACCCTCCACGTCCTGCTCTTCTGTCGGTCAGCCTTGCGTAATGGTGTGCGATTGCAAAGGGGAATGGCATTGCAGCCACGGAAGCCAACAGGGGTCTTTCCCTTGGCTTCAACGAGGTTTGGATCTGGCAATAATTGAGAGCAGAATGTGGTCCTTATAAACTATTGTACGAGGTGCAGAGTTCTTGCCAAAATACAAAAGGTACATATGACTTGCCAAATGTTTTAAAGCCTATAGTTCTGTGATCCGCTTCCTGAGAAATTGCCAAGCACGTTCATCATGCAAGTTTGCAAATAAAGAGTACATGCTGCAGACACAGACCAAACCCAATTACGGCTTGGGTGGGTGTAACAGCCACATTAGTTCACACAGTCACAACAGGGTTGCTTCCATCCTCTGCACCCATGTTGAACAATAGTAAAAATCAGACATGTTTTTTAAAATTGAATGTTACTAGCCCTCATGACTGTGAGAAATGGTTTTCAATGTGTGCAGAGATCTGTTGACAAACTACAATGGGCTGGTGGGTTTCCTGTCCCCATCCACAGCTCGTTTCTTTCTTTGGGTGCCCCATCTTTTCACTGCCAGCTCTTAATGCTGGCTGTTATGAACAATACACCTCCTATCTGCAAGGGTAACACCGCGTATACAGAACTGCTCTGTGTCAGTCTTTTTCCTGGAGCGGACAGTCTGATCAAAGAGCCACATTTGCCAACAACATCCCATTTTCATTGCCGGCTACAACACTACACTGTCTAATTTTAGCCTACGTTGGAAATGATTACTCTCAATATTGCCAGAGAGTGTCTTTAAGGAGCAGGTATATGGAAAGTGTGGAGAGCAATAAAGAATGAGGACGGTTTGCAACTGCAAGGCTGTATCCTTACATATGACAACTACCTGTGTAGCAGAAAATGTAGGAAGTGGTACTTCAACAACCATAGCAGAACAGTAACACAATCATATGGGCTGCTCATACGTTACCAGGCCAAGTTCAAGGTCAAATCTTGGGTCCAGGACATCATAAGGCCTGTTTGGTGCCTTATATCCCTGCCTGATCACTGAGATATTCA